CTTATACCAATACGTGAACATTAATTCCATTTGTGTCCCTCCTGTATTTATAACATCCTTAACTTCTCATTGCCAGCGTAAATATTTCACCATGATCTTTTGGGATAGCTTTAATTCTACCAAAAACACAGGTGTCAGAACCATATACGCTCCCAGCCCTGCCAAAACATTCCCAGAGCTCTATGAACACATTTCAGTCTGACATGGAGGTGCTGCAAGACTGTTGTTACCTTTTACTCATATAGTAAACATTTCATTTGTGTCACAAAAAGCTCTTACGTCCATGATATCAACCAGTAAGTTTTTCATATGCAGAGGCCTCACATAGGATCAGTTCAACCCTACTTGCACCAATATTTTTAACAGAAACCTTTCTACAATCAACACAAGTTCAACCTAATCCCACTTCTGAAGAGAAGCAGAAACCCTTTGTTTTACAAAGCACACAATATGCTCTTGAACAAAAAAAAGCACTCCTGGTTTTCAGGGCTTTATCTATACTGTTGATAAAAAGAAGCTAAGGAGCAATACCTGACCCAAGATTGAGACAGAGCAGCCAACCCACAATCTCTCTAGAGCAGAATGACTGTGCAGTGTGTTATACTGCATTTGGCCTTAGGCCTTCTGAATACTGTATGATCTATTTTTTGTCATTCTCAAGTACACCCTTATAACAGCAGATGTTTTACCCTATTACTGCTGCCATGCAATGTTTTCTCAAGTCTGTTGAGGATTTTCTTTTTCTAGCGAACATCAATGGAAATCTCTTCAAAAATCTTGGCACTTCAGTGCTGCTGTCAGACCCACCATGCAGTAATTGCTGAATGACCAGGTTCCTTCTCAATACCATGTTAAAAAGGAGAGAAATCTACGGCTTCTGCCAGGGTTGTAACGATGGAGCCTGAAGAACAGTGTGGTCAGGGCCTGAGATCCTCAGTGACTGCACTGAACACTGGACACAGAAATTAACTCAGTCCTAAGCTTGATGAAAAATGCAACTAAACATAAAAAAGGGAACACCAAATAATTTCTTGTGGGCACTCAGCAATGCAGAATCTCCTACCATTTAGTATCTTCCTCATACCTATGGCTGTTTTTAAGCAAAACCATCTCAATTACCATTTACATTTTATGCATTGATGATGTCACATTACTACTGTCTGCCTTAAAAAAACAGCAGTCTAAGTGTCCAAAACAGATGAGGCATGCATGTTCAAGGATCCTGACTGATCCAAAGCCAAATATTCCAGTAAATGGCTATAATGAAAATCCATTAAGAGGATGAATCAGTTGCAGCTTGTTTTCCCTTGCTTTTTACTGTTGTGTTTTTCATCATTAAGAAAACAGCTCTGTTCCTCGTAACTTTGTTAGCATTTATCAGAAAGCTATCTGTTACAGCAGATTAAGAGTTCCTGGGAAAAAAAAACAAATACACATAAGACCAAAACAAGCAACTAGATTTGTAAATTTCCTTATCTAACTCCTGGTCACCATAGCACACGGCAGATGGCCAGATTTGTTCCAGTCTTATTTGATTACTACTCATGTTTGTCTTTTCTGCAAAAGAGCACAAGATGCTATGCTGAGTTAGCTGGGAAGGACCTTCTAAAAGCTAACTGATCTTTTTACTCAGCTACACAGTGCCCTATCCATTGCTGTAAGTAATAAAGAAATCAGGTCTTGTACTGAGTTGAAAGTCAGTTCAACTAAGTACTTGAACTAGGCAGTCTGAATGTTATCCATTAAAAATGGAAATCTCATAGTAGCAAGTATGGTAAAAATATCAACAAGGAAAGTAACTCGAGTCAGGGATGGAAAGTTGTTTGCAGTTAACTACCAAGACAGGAATTTCCCATTTAATCCACATGCTTGCAAAAAATTTCATTAGAATGTCAGGCAAAACAATTTATTTCTTCCTGTTTTCTATTTGTTTCTATTACTGTGAGCTTATTATTTATACAACTTCACAAATCTCTCCCTGATTTTCTGCCTAATGGAATACATGCAGAGCCCCAGTTTGATGCCTCAGGTAGCTTTTGCCAATGTCAGAGCAGGAGTAGACCTAAAGGAAACACAGAAGTGTTTCAGCTGCCAAGACGCATTGCAGCTAATTATAACAATCACCAGGAGCTTCAGGGGAAATCCTTTGATTCATCCTCTAAACCACAAAAGCTGCTTGGCAGAGATGTGTCACACTACTGAGCGGGAAAGCCAAGGCAGCACCTAAGATTCTGCTGGCCAGCAAACACTCCGAGACAAGGAGGCACTCCCACCTTTCCACTTATTAAAGCAACAAGGAATTCTCAAGTTTTCCCATACAATAGCTGCTAAGCAGTGCTAGCCTACACAGGAAGGGTACCCACTGACTGAAAACATCTTCACAAGCAGACCACAAAGTGCTTTCAGATTATCTGTATCCACTGTAGTTTTTTGATTATTTAAAGCTGTTGCAAGCAATGCAGGAAAACACAGACAACAAGTCACCCACCAATTACAGCTTCAAGGAAAGCAAATGACTGAGAATTTGTTCAAAGTCATACCAAACTCCCCATTCACTCCCATTTTTTCCTCAACTACTTCATTTCTGAATTATATGCTCAGGTCATAACAGCATCAGAGTACAGGTCATATATACCTAGTTTTTTCTGCACTTTTTCAGTAACAGAAAAAGCACAAAATTAGTCAGCTTAGATTATCCAGTAGTGGCAAACTCAATGTGAATTTTCTGCTATGTAATGAATGCCAAGTCAGAAACAAGCAGCAGGTGAAATCCACATGCTACTTCCATACCTAGGAATGTAAATCAACTGGAGTCACTCACAATAATTTATAAACATACAGTAAACCTAAACTTGGCAGGCTGCCTGGAAGGAGCACAAGTGTGATACGTAACTGAGGTTAGTGCACAAGTCTGAAGAGTTCTTGACTCTGCAAGTAAATGTAAGTAAGCACATACACTGTTCAGGCTCCCATTCATCAGTTCATTTAAATTCCTTTTCAAATTAGACCCCTGCAGCACTTTATGTAGGCCATCTCATGATTTTGCATTTGATCTCAAGGGCTGCTTATTCTCTCATCTGATTCCCATTAATCAAAATGACAGTCTCTAGCTAAATAATTTTACATGGGTCATCTAGCTGGTCGGTTTTATCTGTGAGGTGTTCAGCATTGCCATGAATTTTCCTCTACAGGAAAAACTTAACCAACACAACTGAGGCAAACTTCAGGCAAGTTCATCCAGTTGTTCATCAAAACATGGAGCAGCAGAAACCTGAGACTGAATATACACTTTTGCATTAAGGGAGCAGAAGCAACATTTGGCAGGTTGGAGTGAAGGAAAATTGTAAGAGCATCTGCCAACCAGATGCAGTATTGAGCCCAGGGCCTCAGCTCACACTCTCACTTGCAGAATAAAGGCAGTCATTAAGAACTTGAGATACTGGGAGAGCTGAAGGTAACGAAAAGATTTCTCATCTGCCCTTTCTCGGAGTTTCACTAGCAAAAAGCAAAGCAGCCAAAACACACTGTGCAATTTCCCTAAATACATTTTTGTTTCTATGTGTTTATTCCTTTGTTTTTTCTCCCCTTCTTTGTGTAACCCAAGTGGAGTTTTTGTGTTTGTGAGACCTTGACGTGAGTTGATCCTGGTGTGCAGCCAAAGCCTGCCCAGCCAAATGAGGGACTGAATTGGAAGGGCCAAAGAGAGAAATTGTGGGTTGAGACAAAGACAATTTTACCTTTAATAGTTAAAGCAGCAGTTGCACACACAAGAAAAAAAAAAAACAAAAAAAACAGTGAGCAATTCACTCACTAATTACCGTACTCAGGCAGATATATTTATCTATTTCCAGAAAAGCAAAGCTTCATCACACGTAACAGTTGCTTGGGATGACAAACAGCAGCCACAAAAATCTGTTCCTCTTTCTCCTGTTTTCCCCAGCTTTTAATACTGAGTACAGCACAGGGAATATCCTTCTGGTCAGCTGGGGCAGCCATCCTCGCTGTAGCTTGGTGCAGTGTCCTGTGTACCCCTGAGCACACTAACTAGCATGAGAAACAGAGCCAGTAGCACTGTTCACCAGTAGCTAAAACATCCCTCTGTTATGAATACTGTTTTGGTCTAAAATGTAGCACCGCACAAGATACTTAGAAGAAAATGAATTCCACTGCAGCCAAAACCAGCACAGGTCTGCCAGAGATTTTTCAGAGATAAACACTAAACAACACAGCTCTAAACAAAGTTGCAGACCCAGGACAGACAAATCACATGCCCTGCTTGCAACTTTTTTGCAAGATTAGTTAGCCCAGCCTCTTGTCACAATGCTTTTAATGGTCCTAGTCACCAAATCATTTTGTTGTAGGCACTAGTACCCCTGAAAAATATTTTGCTTTGTAGGTATAAATTTAGAGCTAGTGGAACTACTTCTATACTTGTAAAATAGGTAACAAAAAAGTACATTCTGTGACTGAAAAAAGGGCCATGCATATAAGTTTCTATACTTTGCTCTGGTAGTCAGTCTAATGAAGATGCAATCTCAACCTCAAAATTCACTCATGGCATAAAGGCAAATCATATCATACAGGACATCTCAAAGAGGCATTTTTATAAGTAAGTCTGCTAAGCTTGGCACACCATGTGGAAAGATGCAAATAAAGGATTCTGGAGCATTTCAGGGCTAAGTTACTGCCATTTAACAGTTCTATAGGAAAGATGCAGCAATACACACATCTAATACACCTCTCTAATATTCATAGACCTGGCACATTTGAAAACCCTTCTTTATCTTCTCTATAGCCTACAGATGAGAAGCTGCCTTATCAATACCTTGCCCTCCACATGGAAAGGAAGCTTTAAACCAGTACAGCTAGCAACTGGGTTTTCCAGATGAAGTTATTTACCACAAGCAAATAAACTGTCCTTAGGGGCCACACCTAAATGAATGGATATGAATCTGCAAGCAAGTTTTTAGGTGGGGCAAGAGATTTTTCCATTTCAGTACCTTGTTTGAGCCAGTTATTTTGGTGTGGGTTGGCATACCATCAGGCTCTTGGAAGTTGTTGTCCCTTCTGCACCTCAGTTGTGGCACTCAGAAATCTGCTAGGTAGCTCCTGCAGGTGGATGAGAAATGATCAGGAGTTGCCTTTGCATATATATATATATACATTTAATAAGACTACGGCATTTTCAATCTATTTTCTGCTTGCTTTAAGTACGTGGTATACGCATGTAAAATGTTATCCTCGATCAAATGTTGAGAAGGAACCCTTACCAGGGCCCCTGTACCCCTGAAGGCCAGTACGTGGGTATTCAGCGCAGCACTACCCTCAGACACGGCAGCATGCAGCCACAGCCCCTGCTCCGGGCACCCACACGCACACACACACACGCACGCACAGGCCCTGCCCGCGGCAGGCACTGTGTCTTCTTCAAGCCCTGTGTGCCTGGTTCTAGCCATGATTGCTCTTATCTGGCTCTCGCCTGAGGGGTTCACTGCAGATAAGACTGCAGTTGAGGTCCAGCACCGGTTATTTCTCCATTTCTATTAATTAAAACATGCGAGGCAGGGAGGAGGGGGTAACAGATACAAAACAAAACAAAACCAAACCAAAACCCTACCCAGCGCCGGCAATCTCTCTGACCGCGGCTTCGAGACGGGCGGTCCCCAGGCAGCTGCAGAGCGCACCTCCAGGCCTCGAGCGACGGTACGAGGGGGGCAGCCATGACCCGCACAGCCTGGCCGGCGGCTGCCGCCATCTGCCGGTGGCGCTGAGGGGCGCTGGGCCGGGCCGGGCCGGGCTGCGCGCCCGCGGAAGGGCCGCAGCTCTTGGCCTCTCTCTGCGAATATCCCGGATTGGTTCAGAAAATGCTGGGTCAGAAGAGTGTCAGGTCGGGATGAAACGACAGCCATTTTGTCAGGCACTTTCAAGCAGTTACCTGGACTGGCCTGGGGCTAAATCTTGGAGATCACCGTTGCCTCCATTCTGGAGCTGTGATTAAAGACTGTCTGACTGCTCTATGACAGCACCAGCCTATGGCAGTGGTTGGATCGCTCACCTTGGAAGCAGTCACAGAATTCAAATTCTTCCTCTGCCCAAGGTCAGGTTCAAATCCATAATGATTTGAACACACAGGATCTTTGAAAGCTCTACAGCAATACAGGAACTTCGGAAGCTTTATTATGGCATTATGGCAATTCAGGGAGGAAAGCTTTGTGTCTCTCTTGAAGAACACAAATGGAAACAACTGTGAGTCACGTTTCTGCTCTCATTACTGCTTTACTGTTTTATCCAGAAGTGTAAATGCTGCTTATAATGGAAAGAATAACAATTCATCTGAATATTTAATGGATGGAGAATATGGCAGCTAGCATACAATTTGTGTGGGAGACTGACTTGTCAGTGTGTATAAGACATCCTCTGAAAATGCAAATGGATAAAGCCCATAGGGAGATTAGGCCAAAACCCAATTGATTTCTGGATCCCAGTCAGGCTCTGACATTGTTGAAGCATATCTCATGCCAGTGCTTAGACATTGCCAAATCTGAACCCATCTATCTTTTGCAGCATTTAAATACCCCAGTTCCCTCCACCCCATAGCTCCAGCACTGAAATAATAATATTTTCAATGAAGTATATTTTGTCTTTAAACAAAGGAAGGGGAGCTGTAGAAGGCAGAGAAGTTCCACAGCAAAAGTTGTCTTAGAGAAGAGCGGGATATATCCCAAACACTTGAGAAAGTCCAATCCAGTTAAAAAGAGCAGAAGGACTTGAGAAAAAAACGGACATAAACACAGGAATGATCCAAGGATGATAAAAAAAACTTTTCTTCATTTGTTACTATAGCATAGAACATAATATAGAATATGACAAGTAGCAGGACATAGCCAAACTGGCTCAGGGAGATAGATATGCTAAACTGCTAATTGCTATCCATGATTTGGAAACGAAGCATGTAATAGCAGAGAGAAAAATAAGACTAGAAATGAGAACAATATTTCTTACTTGGAGAATCAAAGCTGTGCCCAAACCTGAACATTTTTAAGAGCTTCATGAATCAGTGAGAGGGATTCTATTTGAGATTGGATGTAAGTGACCCTCCATATTGTTGGCAGTTATAAGGTTATTTTTATTCATGGAGGAGAGACTCAACAAAGTCCTTGAGAGACCCAGTCTTCTTCAAAATCAAAAAATACTCTTAGAACAGAATAGAATTTCAGCCGGATTAAATAATAATGCAGACAAGGCCAAGCTTTGCTTCTAGGTCTTCAGATGTTAAGGTATCTATGGGTGAAGTTCCCATTCTTAGCTGTAACTATCTATATCTGTAACAAGTGTTGGGCAAATTTTGGACCACATTCTTATTTCCTGTATGTGGTGCTAGAAGTCCTCAAAATAAGAGAGAGCATTTTCTTGACTTCATACTGAAAAACGGGTACGGATAGCAGTCCTCCATGTTCTGTTCCTTGTTCAGTGAGGAAAACATAATGCCAGGCCAGGAGCTCTGGTGATGCCAGGGAACTGGCAATGCCTCGACATGCAGTGATGGGAAGGATACCTCTTCTGTAGCAAGTGCTTCCCTCTGCTGGAGCAATGCCATAAAACACATTTTATGCTTGGAAACTCCTCACGTTTCACTAGTGCTTGGGTGTGTTAAGTATAGTCCTCTTAGTTTCTTTGTCAGTGCAGCAGAACATAGTACTTGCTCTTTTTCTCTTGGAATTACTAGAAAATGAAGGCTCTATCTTGGAAGGATGAGCTTCAGACAAGTGCCTTTGAAGATAAAGCTGGTATTGACCAGGCTCCCTGCAACAATTTGACTGGTAGTACTTTGAATTAGTGCCTCTAGATTCGTGGATTTTTAAAAGTTATGAATGTGATAGGTGGACTGGAAGTGTGAACTTGGTAGCAATCCTGCAGAGATAATGATACCAGGAATTCAGATTTTGCCTTTAGATTACCTTCTTTTTTCTTCTTCTTTTTTATGTTTAAATAAAAGCAATATCTTTTTCTGAGAAATCCAAATAATCAAGAGATCTGTCGAGACTTCTCAATTGCTTTTCTCTTTGAAGATAAATAGCATGCTTTTATGTTCATATGCACACTCTTTCACTATGAGTTTCAGCCTATCAGATACACTGACAGTCTCTGAAGAACAACCAAAGTGAAGGAGTCCTGCTTTCATTGTTTGTAGTCAATACATTCTGCAGTGTAGAGTGACTGTGGAGAAGAACTGTAGGTAAGAAGACAAAAGTACTATATTCCATACAATTACCCATCTTCAAAGAAATAAAGGCTTTGCTGATACATAAAGAAGAACAAACTGTGGTGCTGTAGTTATGCCATATTTGCTGCAACCTGTCTGAATTAGTTTCCTACAACTATGAACTATGTTGATGGTTTTCTAATTTACTTTGTCCCTCTGAGTGCTATTTTGTACTGCCTTTTGAGAAGAACTTAGGGTTTTTGACAAATTGAATATTATTCTCTATTTCATGTAGATCATCCAGCTCCAGTCAATGATTCAGTTTTCTATAACCCTTTTAAAATTTCATTACATTTTTAAAATACAAAATTTTTTTCAATTTGTTGGAGCTTATTCTTTTGCAGAAACACATTGCTCTAGAAATCACAAGTGGCTTCCCATAAACACACAGTACCCTTCCAGAAGTATCAGAGACTAGAGGTGCAGTAGAGGCTGTAGAAAAATGTGAGGCTGGAGTATGGCACTGCTATCCAATGACATGTCATGTGTTACAGCAATTAGCAGACAAAGTGGAAGAGGTACTTCCTCTTCAACTTATTTAAAACCTTTGCCAAGCTTGTGACTTTGGGCAGGGAATGGGGGAACCAGGGAGACTTCTCTTGCTCAACAACATGGCAGTGGCAGCACAATCTGAAGGAAATAATTTGCTGTGCTCAGCTATGACAGAGCAATGTTTCTGTTTTCCCTGCCACAGGGGAGCCATCGATGCCTCTCATGCAATATAAGCCCACAGAAGAGAGCTCCAGCTCCAAATTTCAAACCCCCAGACACTCTGGCTCTAGGGACAGGGAAATTGAAGCCTGAAGCCTGAATAGGTACTTTTTCTCTCTCATAGCCCTAGACTGAACACCATAGAGGGAGTCTCTGGAGAAGTGGGACTTGTTTCTTCCATTTTTCTGCATCTTTGTGACAGTTACTACCCAACAATTTCCATTTACACATATGCCACTTACATCCATTTCACTTTGGAGGCTATGTTTTTCTCCACAGTAGGTTGGATCTTTGGATACAGTCTGTGACAAGAACAGCATGCACACTGTCATAGACATCTGGGTAGGTACTTCTGCAGATTCCTTAACACAGTTCCTACTATGAGGAATGATAGATAGCCAGGTTTAAAGAAAAAGCAAAATGAAACATTGCAGAGGCACAGATAACCGCCGCACCAGGATTTTCAGGGCCAGGCATGTGAGTTCAGGCAGACCAGAACCAGTGCAGCTCCCTTCTCATGGTGCTACACCCATGCAAACCAATCCAAACAATCCCACGATGACACACAGAGCAACCTCACGTGTCCACACCTAAGGCAATCTGTGATTGAGATAATCTTCCCAGGAAAAATGAAGACTTATTGTACACTAATCTTGAAAGCAGACCAACCCAGGAGTGTCACAACCCTTTTTACAGAGGAGGCACCTGAACTTCAGTGCCCTGCAGAGGGCTTTGGGAACAGTATTGCCCAGTTTTGAGACTGCCTGGTGGAGTCCTCTGTTACTGAGGAAGAATACAAACTTGCAGATAGCTCAGAGTGGATGCCAACAAAGGAGAGAGGACCCATGCAGCAAACTAGGACCTGCTAACACAGGAAATGCTAAGTAGAGCAGTGAATCTTAAGATGTCTATTGACAAGGTATTCAAGCGTTTGTATTCATTTGCTGGCCTTGTTAAATTGTCCATAGCTTGAAATTTACAGTTTTGTCATTTTTGCTTACCTAATAAGTACTAACCTCTGTATTCTACACACTGTAGCTGCTCTTCCTTTGTTATGTTACCACAGAAAGATCAGGAACATTTGCTATCTGTACTATATATGTTCAGCTCATTGCTATAGAACACCAGACAGTGCAATCCCGTGCAGCAGCTTGGCTGACCATTTCACAGCAAACAACCTATCATAGGCTCAGAGAATTTTTGTGTAGAGAATAAGAGCAGCTGCCCTATAGCAGAACTCTGCACTCTCTGCACCTTCTTTATCTCACTTCTACACCTGTGAGTTTTCTTCACTATTTCATTTTCTTCTCTTCACATACAAGTCATTATAAATTGTTGAGGAATATTGCATGATGTATTTACTAATAAGAAGTAACTCACATAATGCAAACCCACTTTAGGTGAGGCAATGTTATCTCTGTGCCCTGACAAGTTTATGAACTGTGAGTAATTATGAACTTGATGTAGTTTTATCTTTCAGTGGCATATATAGCTGCAGAGGGTCACTCAATATTATATTTTGATTGCAAATTCTTTGGGCAGAGACTATCTCTTGTATAGGCAGAGCCTACCACAATGGAGACTTGATTTCGTCTGCGTCTTCCAGATACTTCTGGGATGCAAATGTAAAGTACTATCAATTCACGTGGCAGATTTTTTCCTAACATGCATTCATGCTCACCCCACAGACACCATACTCACAGTGTACACAGACATAGGATAGAGAGTGAGGTGGGACAGA